ATTTTCTCTACATCAGTCAGGTTTCAGAGCTGGTTACAGCACTACTTCGTCTTTATTACATCTTACTGATTCCATCATTCACAATTTAGATAATCACATCAACACCGTCTTGGTACTGTTAGATTTATCGAAAGCCTTTGATATGGTCAATCACCTGATACTACTGAGTGAGTTATCTCATTATGGAATGTCAGATATAGTTCCAAGGTTCTTTGAGTCATACTTGCTAAATCGTCAACAAACAGTGAAAACTGATCAGGGAATTTCTTCCTCTGAGCCAGTTCCTACGGGAGTTCCACAGGGCTCAGTATTAGGTCCCTTACTATATCTGATTTATACGATCGATCTGCAAGACTGTTTAGTCCACTCTAGTATGCAAACTTATGCAGCTGATACTCAGTTAGTGTTTGATTTCGATCCATCAAAGGTTTATGAAGTTTCTTTTAAAGTTAATTTAGATTTGGCTAACATCAGTGATTACTGTAACAAACACTGCTTGAAGATCAATCCTAATAAAACTACTGCAATGTTGTACTGTTCGAAGAACTCCTACTGTGAAATGAAGTAGAGGATTTGTGTTGTTTTGGATGAGACACTAATCCTTTTTGTGGATTACGCCAAGAATCTCGGTGTTACGCTTGACTTAAATATGAGATCCGATCGGCATGTCTCTTTCTTATCTAGAGTAACGTATATGCGTTTGAAACTCCTCTATTCTAATCGATTCATCCTGAATTTTAAAACCCGAAAAAAGCTCGCTGAAAGTCTTGTGTTGTCTGTCATTTCTTACTTTCTTGTTCTTTATTACCCATGTTTAGACTACGTCCACAAAAGGAAACTCCAGAAAATTCAGAACAGCTGTTGTAGGTTTATTTTTGGATTGCGCAAGTTTAGTCGCGTCTCAGATAAAATCAAAGAACTCAACTGGTTGCGAAATGATAAGTTATTTTTATATCTTTTGACCGTCTTCACGCATAAAGTTCTATTATCTAACAGACCAGCTTACCTCGCTAGCAAATTGGTTCACCGTGGTAGTTTTGTTACCAGAGCTCTTAGATTTAATGCTAATTTTAACATGCCTCCTCACAATACCTCTGTCTTTGAAAGAAGTTACACCTATAATGCTGTCAAGCATTACAATGCAGTCAAGAGTGGCTATCGATCCAAACAGGTTGCTTCTTTTAAGAAATTAATGAAAAGTCAGCTGCTGGAGTCCATTTAGTTCAGTTTTTCTTGTGTTCATGTGCTTTTTTTTGTTTGACTATTTTCTACTATTTTTGTTTCAAATTTTAAAACTCTCACAATACTATCTGCATTTGTCTCGTACAGTCAATGTTTTTTCCTGTTGTGGGATTGGGTGTAAGAGTAGCCGTCTGGCTAAACTTCGCCTCACTGCAGCTAATAAAGGCATTATTATTATAAAACTCTCATGAGGCATTGGTTCACAAGATTATCTCACACCTGCTTCCACAATGAAATAAAACTTATCATGAGATTTTTATTTCACGACACAAAAATCTCATGAAAAAATCTGTGGATCTGCAATTTATGATTCAAAAATGCATATGTAAGTCGTACTTTCGAAAAGAACTTACTTCTGGTTAATAAAAAGTGAAACATTCAGAATATTTATGAAAGTATCCCCTTTGCGATGAGTCAATATCTGTGCACAAAACAGCGATGGCTCAGTGTCTGTGTACAAGAAGCAAGCAGCATGGCAAACAGCAGCAGCAGCAGCAAAAACGAATCGGAGCGTGTAACTACTCTGTGGTCTAAAAACTTCCAATTTCGTCCGACAAACAACTATGCATATTAAACGCATTTTCGAGTTGAGAGCGCAAACCAGACCAGGCCAAGCTTGCAGAAGAGCAGAGGGAAATCGAATTACCCATCCCAGTTTGATGCCAAAATAATCCGTGGACTTTGCCTCCTCCGACCAAGTTTATTTTATTTCCGCGGAAAATTGTTTTTCCTGCAGGCAAGCCAGACCTTCGCTGTTTGCTAGCATCGGAAGTTACATAAAAATGTCAGGTGGATTGTGGTATTCAGAACATAGGTGCAGGTTTTTTTTTAGACCACATTTATACAGGGTGCGGCGGAGAGGATGGACGGTTTTAAAAAAATCACAAAATAAGTAGTTAATTTTTACTCGAAAACAAATTAATTTATTGATGGAATCAGGTTCACAAGAAAATAGCATTTGAGACAGTCAAGTGTGGAAAATCACATCAGACATGTTGTGGCCGAAATCGTTGATGCAGTGCTGGAGACGTTCTTGGAAGTTCGCGTAGACTCTCTCCAACATCGCTCTCTCAACTTGGGCGACTTCCACGCGAATTTCGCCCTTCAATTCGTCCAGAGTTCGGGGCTTGTGGCTTGTGAAAGTGGGCTTCGTCACTCATAAACAAGATGAGGTTCTCATTTTGATCTATCAGTGCTTCTATCTCACGTGCGAAGTTCATTCGTCGTGCATAATCTTCGGGCTGTAACTGTTGCACAATGGCCAATTTGTAGGGGCGAAAGCGGAGATTCATATGCAAAATTCGCCTCACCGAACGATCACTAAGGCGAAGTGCAGCAGCATGTTTCCGGGCAGATCGAGTCGGACTGCGAAGAAAGACCTGTCGAACGCGTTCAACATTTTCAGGTGTTCGAACTGTTCGCGGCGCTCCTCTTGGTCTTCTGTTGATCAGTTCACCACGCCTGCGAAGTGATTCAACCCAACGAAGGATGGTGTTTCGAGAGGGAACAGCTCTATTCCGATGAATGTTGAAGTGGCGACGAAACTCACGCTGTGCGACGATGACTGACTCATTATTTCGGACGAAACAATCATAGGCGAAATCGCGGTGCTCCACCGTCTAAGGCTCCATAACGACAACTGGTAAAATAATGCTAGGATCTCACGAGTCAAACGGCACCCTCCCCACCTCTCTCGTAGGCGGAGGCGGAGAGTACTACCCATCCCAAAAACGTCCGTCCTCTCTGCCGCACCCTGTACTATGAGGTAGTAGGTAGCGCGTTTTAAGTGATAGTCGACGTCGCTTGCACATGTATCTGTACATTTTGACAATCGCCTTCAGTCTATCGTATACCATCTGTCACTAGTCGCCTGCTACCTCTGAGTACAACCATCTTCACTCTGAACAAGGCCCACATAAGATCGGCACCGGAAATATGTAACTTGAAAAAAACATCGAGTTTTAGTGACATTGAGTACAAGGCCTGTCGCAAAGTAAACAGGACTTCTGAAAGATATCCGGTTCAAGTTGCGCCATCTATTATCGCTCAAAGTGACAGTACCTTTTCAGCATCGGTCGAAAAATGAGCATCGCACGATGAGCCAATATTGAGTTCTATGTTAACAAACGAAACGCATCAGATGATGTAAGTGTATGGTGATAATTTTTTATCTCGTAGCCAAGTCCACGAGTGGTTTACGCGGTCTGATCATATTAGACGAAAATAGTTTGCGAAGGAATTGTAAAGTCTGGTTTTATTGCTGCAAGTTGTTCAAGGGGGTATTCAAAACATGGGCGCATGAAATGGGTACACCCATTTTCTGTGGCAAAACTTTTTATTCGACAACAAAGAATGAGAAAACGTGTTTTTTGGGATTCAATCGAAAGTGTAAAAAACTCTTCATATACAAAATGAGACCACAGGTAAAAAGATCCGACTAATAACAAAAATAGTATGGCCGAGGAACGAGGCAAAATGCAGATTTTGGCAATTGGTAATGCGACGTTGGTTTCTCGTAGATATTTGAAAATTTTTCAAATTCCTAGGATTCGTACTTCTAAATAACCACAACAAAATTTTAGTAGATTTGTCAAGTCGTTTCTGAGAATCTTTAATTGTTTATCCCAAAACACCTGTCTTCCGGCCATAACTACTAGTTTATTGAGCAATATACAGGGTTAGTTCAAAGGGAATTTTATAGCAAAATACACTAGTTTACCTTGCCGATATGAATCGCAAACCATTCCGGAAGATAAATCTTATTTTTAAGCAAGAAATGATCCAAAATCTTCTTTCGGATACATAGAAATGGAATTAAATATCTCTAAAGATTCAATCCATGGCATTTTGACCAAGAATTTCGTCATGAGAAAGATGTATTCACGATTTGTACCGCTCAAGCTCTTCGGATGATCAAAAATTGCTTCGAATTCCACATTCGAGTGACATGATTAAAGAGGCCAAAAAAGAGAAAAACTTTCTGTACAACATTATGATTGGTGACGAAACGTGGTGTTTTCAATACGATCCCGAAACCAAGCCTTAAATTGCCTCAAGCGAGCCAAATAAAAAAAGCCGATTGGTACAGTCCAAAGTGAATACAATGTTTGATTTTTTAAACAATTTGAAGAATTTGTTCCACCGGGCCAAAAGGTGAAAGCTGTGTTTTATCTTTGTGTTTGTTATGAGGCGATTGCTGCCGTTCGGCCAGAATATCGCGAAGAAGTAAAGTGGCGCTTGTTGCACGATAATGCACCATCTCATTGATCGACGCTTGTGTTCAATTTTTTTGACCAAAAATGTCATTTTAACCATCAACCACCCCCTATGTTCTCCTAATACGGCACCGTGTGACTATTTTCTGTTCGGTAAACTACATTTGGAAATGAAGGGACAGCGGTATGCCGACGTAGGGGCCATCCACAAGGCGTCGACGACCATTTTGAAGGTCATCCCGGTCAATGAGCTAAAATCATCATTCGAAAATCTTTTGTTCCATGCAAATCGTTGTACTAACTCTGAAGGAGACTATTCTGAATAAAATAAATTCGTTTTTTCGAAACAAAAAACATTTGTTCCTTTTTCCTTTATCCTGTTTACTTGGCGATAGACCTTTTAGGCGTTCGCGAAAAATATCACCTAGCAGTCATGCACTTCATGTTCACTGTAGCTGGGCGTGTTGCCTAAACATCGTGACACTTGAGCTATAACATCTGCTTAGAGATGGCACTTTTAGAATCCATTTATAGCCAAAGAAAGGAATTGATCACCATGTTCACAACTATATAAAACTGTATTTGAAGGACAAAATATATCACAATTTGAACATAATCATCAGCGTAAAGACGCGTCACTGGTTCTTCGAAATATTTTTTTCTATTCACAGTTGAAATTTCTTTCCCTCCTTAGTATGTATCGAATGGTGGATGTCCATACTTGTAATAAGCGTCCCTCCAAAAATGCACCATATCTTCTTTAATGTGACTCTGTGGTATCAAGTTCTTATTTATCTCCAAGTAGTTCAAATTATCGTCAACCGACGGCCATCGAATGTCTTCTAGAAGAGGATCTGACTCCGGTGTAGGATTTCTGTACAAAGATGTAAAGTTTATTTAATCTTTATTCGCTCTGCAAAGTATTTTACTACAATAAAAGAATACCTTAAAATAGTACATTTCATGCCTAGATGGAGATGCACGATTACACTGGACAACAAATTTTAGTTTTTTAATTGTATCTTTTGGGAAAAGTGCACTTCTTTGTTAATTTTGGGGCGCTGAATCCAAAAATGACAATGAAATAAAAAAATTAGTTGCGGTTTAGAAAAAAAACTTTTTATTTTTAAGGATATATTAAAAAAGTAACAAGATTCATATACTTATAAGAATCACTATATGCTGTTCTTTTATGCATCGTTTCTGGAGCATCTCTACCAAGAGTCCAACAGTAGTCTGCAAGCATGGAAGGATTCCACTTTCCCTGGTACCTTTTTTCCATTGTTGAAATATCCTGATGAAAACATTCGCCGTGCTCATCACTTACGGCTCCGCAATTGTCAGCAAAAAAGTCCAGGTGTGAGTGTAGGAAATGTATCTTAAGAGACATATTACAGCCCATCTTTTGATACGACGACAGCATATTTTTGACAAGGGTTTTATAGTTGTCAGCTTTTCTATTTCCCAAGAAATTAGTGACCACCAGACGGAAATCATTCCAAGCAGTTTTTTCAATACCTGTTAAAGTGTTTTCAAACTGTGTATCTTTCAAAATATTTCGAATCTGTGGCCCAACAAAAATACCTTCTTTAACCTTTGCCTCACTTAGTCTTGGAAATTTCTGACGCAGGTATTGAAAAGCTGACCCATCTCTATCTAATGCCTTGACAAAGTTTTTCATTAGGTCCAACTTGATATGCAGTGGTGGTAATAAATTTTTTTTCGAATCTACTAATGGCATATGCTGTACATTTTTTTGACCTGGCTCTAGGAATTGACGAACAGGCCAGTTTTGTCTGGTGTAATGAAGTGCCTTTGCCCGACTGTCCCATTCACACAAAAAACAGCAAAACTTTTTGTAGCCTAGCTGCAGCCCAAGTAAAAGTGCTACAACTTTCAAATCGCCACAGATATGCCATTGGTGCTCATCGTATTTTATGCATGTCAATAGGTACTTCATATTGTCATATGATTCTTTCATGTGAACTGCACACCCTACAGGAAGAGATGGTAAGATATTTCCAATATGCAATAACACTGGCTTTAAACTCAATGTTGAACTGTCTATAAACAATCTCCATTCTTCTGGGTTATAGTTTATATTTAAAGCCGCCAGTAAGCCGTTAATGTTACGGCAGAAAACCAAGTTATTCTCCATATTGAAAAAAGTCTTTGTAGCGTTTACGAAAAACACATACCGAAACATCGTCTTCTAACAAGTTCCACTGCTGCAGTCTTGATCCAAGTAACTTTGCCTTACATTTTGGAAGTTCTAAATCTCTTACAAGATCATTTAATTCTGACTGTGTTATTTTGTGCGGTTGGTGGCATGACGTGCTCGGTATAAAATCAGGATCTCTTGACGTTGATGGCATATCTTCTTCCTGACGAATCACTCGATCGCCATGATCTGATTCGTTTTCTGATTCGCAAGTGTAGGATTCTGGGGGTTTTGGAATAGGATTTTCGTCACTGTGAGGCACAGGTCTCATCGCAGATGGTATGTTTGGGTAGTTAATAATCGATTTTTTTTTCTTGGACATACCTGTGGCTTGTCCAACACAAGGTACCATGCAAAAGTAACAATCCTTAATATGATTTGTAGGCTCTCTCCAAACCATTTTTTTTTCTATACTCCAACTACCACGAAGGCCTAAGGCCTAAGCACCCATTGGGTACCGTGAGGCTATAGGGGGATACATGGGAAAGGGGGGACGCCACACGGACTCTGGCGAGGGAACACGTGTGCATGCAACATGCACACATTCTGGCTCCGCCTACGAGAACCGCCGGGTGGTACCTCCGCGTTCGACAGTCGTAGACCATCTACCACCTACGGACAATCACAACATCCATAGCCAAGAGAAAAATTTCTCCTGGGACGGGACTCGAACCCGCACAGCGCACGGCGAGTGATCAGGAGACCGAAGAGTCTACTACTGCGGCCACCGGTGCTGCCTAACAGGGACAGCAAAGCGCATAGACCGTTTTTTGCCATTTAACCAGCTCCTCAGACTTGAAGCACACGTATTACAGCAGATGTGGGGTGCCCACTGTTTGTCTTGATCACCTAGTTTAAAACCGAAATAAAGCTGATATGCCTTTGTTATTAGTGGAGTAATAGACCGTCTCTGAGACGCAAAAGTCACATCACCACACACGTAACAAAACTGATCTGGATTGTTTACACACTTTCGAGGCATATTGCATGAACGCTGTCAGCCAACTGAGGAAAAAATGGCTAATATAAAACAATATAATGTACACGTATGTATAACGTAACACAATCATGCCGATTACATCATCTCTCCTTGCCGAATATAAAAATGTAGCACGTGCATTCTTGTGAATTACAGTATATTAACACTGTCACAGCAGGAACACATATAATTACCGTATCTGTAAAACTTGAACTAATATTGAAAAAATAAGTTTCATTCCGGTTTTAGCACATTAAAAATAGTAATATTTTGTTGATTTTATTTAGGATATTTTTTGGCTGTTGATCAGTGTTATTAGTGGAGCACATTTACTATACGTAAATCATCTATGATGACTTTTCTATACTCATTTTACAATTTCTTTGAAACATCAAGTAGCTCGTGTCTGTTCTCAAAGTTAATAATGATGGTGTTAAAAAGATACAATTTTAAATGTCATTATTATTTCCTTCGTTGTTTTTAGTTTTCATTATTTACCAATGTAGAGAAAAACTACTACTCCGTAAGGCATTGCGGTAAATAATGGTGAGTTCTTCGGTGAGTAGCGAAAAAAGTGTTAAATAGGCTAGATGACACTTTTTTAAGTAGGTCTGAAGTAATTAAAATTTTTTGTATCAAACCAAAAAATTACTACTATTTTTTCAGATCTGAAAGATCGTAAATCTTTAATTTAAAAATAGATTTTTTCAGGCGAAAACGCTGTCTGTCAGGTTTTGCGAATATATTAACGTACTGTGACGTCATACCATTTGTAAACATCAGCTGACAGCAGCATAACCTCTCAAACTTTTAGAGATGTAAACATGACAGGACTAGCTTACATGAAAAATATAGTAATTACTGTTATTGTATCTCCCGAGATTGTAAAAACACATCGGTAAAGAGTCCAGGAAAGCTGTGGATTATAGTGCTCAGGACAATAAACACACGCAACACTGAGTATTGGAGCATAACTTATGTTCGGGTTAAATTTTACATTTTACTGTGCAGCCTAGAATTACTATTATGATACTTAATACCTTACCCAGTTTTGGCGAAATTCGTCCACATTTTCAACATTCTAGCTATGGTTGTATTATCAGCTAACGTAGGTGTAGGGAGGTCATTTCTGGAGAATATGTAGGTCATTTCTTCAGCATGAGACACACCTAAAAAATGAAAAAGAAAATGGTTTCTATACAGGATACAGTCATACAAAAAAAAACTGAGCATGGATGATACAGATCAACACCTGGAACTTATCATGAGGTTTTCACCACTGTGGTCCAAACGTAGTACAGCAGTTAAACATGAGTGTCTAGACAATGAAAGTGCTAGAGAAAGTTACGATAAAGAAGACACATGTTCGAAAATTTATATTATTTACCACTTAAAAACTCTTATTGTATTTTTCACAAGTATCCATTACGGTAGAGTAACAACTAATTATCTAGTAATATTTCAAAATTCCCCATATATATAATAATTCTGATGGAAACGTCAACGCCAGAGAGGCAGAGCCGTATTTGGTTTTTTTTGTACGCTTCTGATTCATTTAGTACTTTATAACAACTCTCTTATTAAGAAAAGTTCATTTGCATACAAAAACGCTACAAATCAGTTTTACTATAATTTACACCAGATTCATGGTTGTCATCGTTACAGACTAATAGGGTGTTAGAGTACGTATTTGCAGGTTATACATTTTACCTTTATTACATACTATAAAGTACAACTAGGAAACGTCTTAGTGTAATCATATTAGCAAATTTCCCCGTAATAATTGTAAAGAAGGAGAAAACGTGTTTTTGAGATTCATTCGAAAGTGTTGACAGGAACGAAAAAACTTTTCATATAAGATGTTTAGGTATTTATGAGACCTATAAAATTGGACCATACATATAAAGATCCGGCTAATAGCAAAAAAGCTATAGTTGGTAATGCGACGATAATTATTCCACGCAACTACTTGAAAATTTTTTTTGAGAATGTCTAATTGTTTATTCCAAAACACCTGCTTTCCGGCTATCACTAATAGTTTATTGATCAATACAAGGTTCGTTCAAAGAGCATTTAATAGCAAAGTACACGTGTTTACCTTGCCGATATGAATCACAAACCATTCCGAAAGATAAATGTTATTTTTATGCGAAAAACAAAGGTTACGTTTTTCTTCTAAACAAATTCAAACATTTCGTGTTTGTGAGTAATTGAACAAATGCTCTACGGTATTCGAAAAACATACTTCACCATACACATTTTAGGACAAAGCGGATGTGTCTATCATCTTTTGTGTCGAGTTACTCATAAATATGAAATGTTTGAATTTGTTCAGAAGGAAAAACGTAACTCATTCATTTTTGCATAAAAATAACATTTATGCCCTTTGAACTGACCCTTTATATTGCTCAATAAACTAGTAGTGATAGCCGCACACAAAAAAGAGTGCTATTGATTCAAGAGCATGAGTTTGTATTAAATTATGTTATTGATTCGAGATCACAGATACTTCAAATAAGGTAATTTCGTCGTTTTAAAGTAACGTAGCACTTACAATTGAGAAATTGACCTCAATCCAAAGATATTTGACTTAGAAACATATCGAAGTCACGGCCCTAATTTGAAAATAGTTGTTCTTGAACCAAGATCACACTTTGTATGCGTAAAACAGGTCTTTTGGGATAAACAATTAGAAGTATTCAAAAATTACTTGACCGATATACTCCAATTTTGTTGTGGTTATTGAGAAGTTCAAATCCTACAAATTTGAAGAATTTCAAATATCTGCATTACCAACAAGTGCCAAAACCTGCAGTTTGCCTCGGTTTCCGGGTATAACTTTTTTGCTATTGGTCGGATCTTTTTACGTGCGATCTCATTTTCTAGGTCTCATAAATACCTAAAAATCTTATGTGATGAGGTTTTTTGGTTCCTGCCAACACTTTCGATTGAATCCCAAAAAACACGTTTTCTTATTCTTTGCCGAATAAAAAGTTTTCCCACAAAAATTGGTATAGGTACCCATTTTATGCGTCCATGTTTTGAATACCCCCTTGAACAACTTGCAGGAATAAAACCAGACTTCACAATTTATTATTTCAACTAATATGATTGGACTATCTAATAAAGTAGATAAAGCAAAAAAAGATAACCTTTGAGTCGCTTTTTCAACTGCTGATTAACTGTGATTTTATCGCCATCCAGAAGTTAACTCGCAAACGTTTTCAATGTCAGGTTTGTGCGAAAACAACAGATCATCTATGGGTTGGCTAGAAAGCTGTAGTTAAACCCCAATGCGTAATCTTTTTGCTTGACAGTGATATGAGTTGTCACAGATGACACGAGACACAAACTTCGGGCGTCGTAAAACGCACAGAAAACGATATTTCAGTTGTCGAGGCAACGTTGCCACAGCAACATTTGCGGGTTGATTAACCAGACCTTATATAATATATAAGTTATAGTTACCAAACTTAGGCTCGGTTTTACAATCGCTGGTTAACTTTTAAGTTAGGTACCTATGACTTGGAAGTTGTCTATCAGTTTCCTGTGAATTCCTTTTCAGGTTCTGGTTATTAATTTATAAACCGATGATGTTCGGTATTTGTAACTTGTGTCATCCATCACAATTTATGTCACTGTCATATTAGGTTAGACATGGCCATTGACCACAACTTTATAGATATCCCATACATGGTCCTCTGGTTAAAGTTAAAACTACCACTTTAGGAGAAATTTGATATTGAAAAATGCTTTTTAAGAGTTACCTTCCCCGATTGAAATGTCGGGCCTAATTTAGTGTGAGAATCTATGTATGCATGAATGTGTAGAACTTTGATGATGAGGCTTCCTACCTTTGTAATCACTGACATCTCTGCAACCCATAGCATTTCTTCCGATAAGACCTTCATAGGCGAACATGTACAAATACGTCGGCGTTTCTTTGCCGATGAGTCTGGCGCTTTCAATTATTGGTCTGAAGAAATATCCGTCGTTTACAAACTGCAAAGGTAAACAAAATATTGGTTTGAATCTAAGTTATATTATGTCGTTTATAGCTACATATATTGGAAGCATTTTGCTTACATCTATGTATTGTTCAGATCTAGGTTTATGGTTTGACGTATAGAACTTCCATATTTCTTTACCGCATTCTTCTGTATTATCACCTGCATTCATGTCTGCCGGAACCATGACACTACGATCAAAGTTGATGACTTGTAAAAGAGGATTAGCTATAGAAAGACCTAAAAAAGAACATAATTATTCAACATCTGCATTCGTACAAGTACGCATACTTCTAAAAGAGACTATACTGCAATCGCGAAAATTCTCGAAAATAAGATATGGGTTTTGGATGTTGTATCACGAAAAACGATGTCACACATGTCCGTCTGTCTGCTAATCTTATAACCTCCTATAACTTGAGAAGTACCGCTCGGATTTCGATGAAATTTTCACAAAGTGTTAGTATGCCAAGGAAGCAAAAGATGTGAAGTTTTTGAAAATCCGTCCAGTGATGGGGGAGAAAAAGACCAAAAAGAAAAACTGCTCAAGCTTCGTTTTTTGACGTTACAGATGATCCTCAGCATCTTCGGAAAAAAGTGTGTAGGGGTTAAAAATTGGGGGTTAGAGGTTGCAGGGGTGGGGGTGTGGTATATCTCCATATTTTTACCTTGATTTACTTATATGCCTCCAAGCCCAGTAAATCTACGCACATTTTAGGCATATTTCACTCATCATAGCCTTAAAGCTTAGAAATATCTTCTACATTCGCGTGTCGATACGTGTGACGTGGTCCCCCGACCGACAAGTGTTGTCGTCGGTGGTTATACATCACAGTCGGTAATCGGTTTCGCTTTGCTGTGGACTGTGTGCACTGTGCCAATATCGCCATTCGCGGGGAATTCATCTCGGGGGAAAGCGGATGGTCATTTAATCTTTTATTATACTTTTTGCTTAAAAGAGCCAAACATAACCGTTTACGAACTGATAGCACCGTAACTTGGGAAGTATAGAGGCAACTTACATTTTTATTAAATATTTGATAATTGAAAAAACACAATGAATTAGGTCATTGATTAACGTATTCTTCAAGAAGATGTTTGCATTCACAGACCACTTTTGACGGAATTGGTTACCTTCTGGTGGAATAAGTTAATCAGTGATTCAATTTTTCAACAACCACGAATGATTCGTATTCTGTACAAAGAAAATATGGTTTAATCCAAATCTTACTTACTCTCCACGCGCTTCTATTAGCCAGCGGAACATAAATGCCTGAGCAGGCAGCGACAAGCGGATAGAAAGGGCGATCACGCGCTTATGTTTACTTTGACGTGGAGGCAAATGAGGTTTGAACAGCCTATAGTAATGATTAATCTTGACCTGCCTTGTTTAGCCATAGAAGTCTCTTCTGAATTAAATCCAACTATGTGAGGTACTTTTATGAATTTTCCCTCCAGTAGAAGCTGATGGGTCTTGTTGGTCAAAAAAGCGTGGTCGTGCCATGGTTCAATAGATGGTCCAAATACCATTCCATTTATGAAACTTAGAGAATGCTAAAAAGATACAGAACAAGAACATTATTAATGAAAGAAATACTGAAATGAGTTTCATCAAAATTGATGTAATTGAGTTTAGAATATGGGTGCACAAAGAAGGTAAGTGCTGTTACATTCAGTCCATACGGCACTCAAAAAAAAAAGTTGGCCGCTCTGGCTGACATGAAAAATATTCTGATTAGGTTTTTTGCACAACCTTAGTAAAAAAGAAAAACAGGTTTTGACGCAAGTTCAGTTCTGGCAATATTTAGATCCATTAAAAGCAGATTCGAAGATAACGACCTACGTAGTCGATGGCCTGTCTTATCCCGTCGGAAGTGGGTCGCGTAACTGTTGGATGTGTACAGAGTGATTCACTATGACAAGTTGATGCTGCGTGCCTGGATGCAAAATTAAGGAGGGAAATGGTGTTCCGATGTCTCGCTGAATTTGGATTCCGTTTTTTCATCCAGGAGGTGCAATTGACGAAGGAGATCCATCCAAAATCTATGTATGATTCATTAGTGTACCAGTGTCAAAAACGCGATATCACAACAATTTGATGTGTAGTTTTACTTCGAATTTCCAACATAACCCATGATCATTTTAGAGGTTTGATAGTGCCTTTTCGGAGCTTCGATGAAGATGTTACGGCATTGTAGGAAATATTTACAAAGAACTTGCCTTGTGTAGACAACGTAGGTAAACGATTGAAAACTAAAGTCTTGGGCGTCAATTTGACTCACCCTTGTGAACAGTTTTCTGCTGATCATTTTCTTTCACTTTATACACAAGCCCGCATTTATTTTCAGTTGATATACAGGGTGTTTCAGTTTATTGTTGCATAACTTTAAGATTCGATAGAACTTTTAAAATTAATGCATAAAGTCTATATAAACATGGGTCGAAAAATACGTGGCTTTCGAAATAATTTACTTTCTAAAATAGTTTTTTAAATATTTCGAACAATATTTGAAGTATAACAGTGAAAATTGGTATACAAGGGTTTTTTGGTACGACAAAACGAACCATGGGCATAGTTTTACTGTAGCCGCTATAGGGCGCTCTCTACTGTACCTGTAGTGAATTAAAATGGGCGAAAATTTTTTCTTAGTGCAATTTTTTGCTTTTTGAATAAAAAAAACTGATTCTTCGCCCTTTCAACATAAAAAAGCTCTCTTGTGAATTTTCGTTATAGTTAGCCGTTTTTGAGATATTTAAGATTTTTAAGGTTCGATGCATTTTTAATTATTTATGATAAAATAACGTTAAAAAGTCAGTATCTCGATAATTTTTAGAAGTAGGCTGTGCCTGCAAATATTTTTGAAATTAAAGAGAGTTTCTGGTGCCTTGGGAATTTCAGCAGCCATGTTCACCGTGTTCTTAGAAATGACCATAGTCGTCCTTACCATTTGCAACCTGGGCAAGGACTACAGCCAGGGGACGGAGAACGAAGAATCACATTTTGTCAGTGGACTCTTGATAGAACTGATAATAATAGGGAGTTTTTAAGTAACTTTTTATGGACCGATGAGTCATGCTTCACTAGAGGTGAAGTGGTAAATTTTCATAATCAACATATTTGGTCGCATGAAAATCCGCATGCAGTTCGGGAAAGAAATTTTCAGCATGAATTTAGTGTGAACGTGTGGATTGGTATCTACCGTAATCGACTATTTGGACCCTGCCTTTTGCCTGCAAGGTTAAATGCTGCGACCTTCTTGGAATTTTTAAAGGCTGGACATGCACATATGTGGGATAATGCTATGTTAGATTTAAGAAGATTGGCCTGGTTCCAGCTTGATGGTTGTCCAGCTCATTATTCGAGAATAGTTAGAAACTGGCTGGACGAAAATTATCCAGAAAGATGGATCGGTCGCCTGGCCTCCACGATCCCCTGACCTAAATCCATTAGATTTCTTTGTGTGGGGATTTCTAAAAGAAAAAGTGTACCAGACTCCCGTAACCACAAGAGATATGCTAATAGACAGAATCAGGAATGCATGTGACGAAATAAGGCCTTATTTGAATAATGCTATACCACGTTCGATCATTCGTAGATGTATGTGTATTGAAAATTGGGTTTACATTTCGAGCAACTACTTTAGATTTTGTATGTTTGTCCTAACTATCCAATAGCATTTTAGTTAATAAAATAATTAATTTAATTTGTTAAAAATAATATTGTAAAATTAAACAAATTAATATTCTGTTTTTTTGTGTTTATTTGGAGTTTGGAATTATTTCGAAAATGAAAAAAAAATATTAGTTTCCCATAAATAATTAAAAATGCATCGAACCTTAAGAATCGAGATATCTCAAAAACGGCTAACTATAACGAAAACTCACAGGAGAGCTTTTTTATGTTGAAAATTGCGAAGAATCAGCTTTTTTTATTCAAAAAGCAAAAAATTGCACTAAGAAAAAAATTTCGCTCATTTTAATACACTACAGGTACAGTAGAGAGCGCCCTCTAGTGGCTACAGTAAAACTATGTCCATGGTTCGTTTTGTCGTACCAAAAAACCCTTGTATACCAATTTTCACTGTTATACATCAAATATTGTTCGAAATATTTAAAAAAAACTATTTTAAAAAGTAAATTTAAACACCCTGTATTTCGGAAACCACGCATTTTTCGACCCATGTTTATATAGACTTTATGCATTAATTTTAAAAGTTCTATCGAATCTTAAAGTTATGCAACAATAAACTGAAACACCCTGTATGTCAACCGGGATATAGTCACTACTAGGACAAATAAAGCTAATCCTAAATTGAGAACGTTAACTCATTTATAGATTTATCGAAATAAGACAGAACAAAGTGCTGCTTATGCCGATAGATCTTATACTATGGATAGAGGATAGTTGCTCAGCTTTCGTGCACTGTTCGACCTGAGACTAAGCCTACATCATTCTGAGGAATTTCCTATTTGCATGAAACAGCTGTCCATGGTTGGCGATCTGTGGTCGGATGGACGAAACATATATTACTAGCTTTGTTTAGGAAAGATACTAACGGTACACCTCATGCAGTGGCATTCATGCCATATCCTTTGGATTTTATAGAAGTCCCATTTTATTTCTTTCACGTTATTTTCCATTCTTTATTCCAGTTTTTTACCTAACTACAGATAAGAGAATTAAAAAAATACATTTCTTTTTTACCTAACTCAACTCCCTTACATTCATTTTCTTGTGACCATACAGTATATTCAAATGAATTCCATCACTGCATAAATGTCAATTTTGGGCAAATTATCACCCTTTTACAAATCCGGCTTCCATAATGGTATGAACTTACGCAGTACTCAATAGCTATCAACTGGAAACCACGTGTCCGAACACACAGGTGTGTTGTATGAATTGTCTATAGACTAATGATTAAACGCAAACACGCTGTTGAACACCTACGCGATGAGACGCTGGGCACTAGAGAAGTGTGACGTAAGGCGCAAACGAACGGCAGCAATGATTTCGCGCTATAATGCGCCAAATTGAAGTATACATTTCTCTGTCTATCATTTATTGGCCGATTTCAACAATTTTTTCACTGGCTGGTTATATGTAGTCTATATTTTGCTGGTATGTCATTACTTATGCGATTCTGAATATTACGAAACTTCTCCATTCTCACAGTGGTTACTGAGGTTACGTAATGACAAAGAACACAGTACGACAGGTGAATCATCGCCCAGTCAGTGACGTAGTGGCTAAAAACTATTTTTCAACAAATTTGTTATCCATTGTCCATGTCCATGACATAGAAACAATGACATGTATCACCCTGTATAAATACAATTACGTTATGGCATTGCAAACATTTTTTTTAAAACTGATTCCCTACGTGCGCCAAAGTACGACAGCACTACCATGTCTAAAGCAATAAAAACGGGAAACACCTAAAAAAGGATCTGAGTTATTAGAAGAATTTCCGCATCTTTAGAAGTCAGAAGATTAAAGACTTTTTCGCTAGTTCCCCTTCTATTGGTAACTTTGTATTCATTGGTGATATAGACAACACACAACACAAGATCCATGGCTCAGAATTAACTTCTGAGGCGGAGATTTGAACCCGCGAGCCTTGGATCCGAATCTCCTAACCTCTCGGTCACCATGCCCCCTACAATCTAAAGTAAAATATAATATGTATTACCAGAACCATAGTGGCAGTTGTGGCAGCTTTTAGAACCTCCACAGGTACTCTTCTCAATTTTTCCATAAGTTCTTTACTATTTCTTGTCCTAATTCCAATGGCTGCCCCAAAATCGAAAGCTATGCTCCTTGGGTTTCTTTGATACGACCACATGCAAAGACTGCTTCCACTTTGAGAGATCGCACCTAAAATTTTTGTAAAAATATTTTTATAGTTTCATATGTCATAAAGAAACTGAAAAGTATCTTTGGGATAGAAATATCAGCAATTTTGTACTATGAGGCCAGGCGTGGTACCAGGAGGGGGGTAACGATGCCATTGCCCTCCCCCAAGGTCACAGAATTGCAAGAAAAAAAAGAGGAAAGGGGAGAGAAGAGACCACATTGTTTTTTTGCTTAAAAGCTTAACTTGAAATAAATGTCCATTCTTTTCATACACTGCTTTTTATTATTTCCCTTCTTCATTATTTTATAATAAGGGCAACTCACACTACTTGCCCAACCCCACCCCCCAAGACGTGATCCTGGATCCGCGCCTATATGAGGCATAGTTTTGTGGATGGTAGACCAGCTAAATTGAATAAATTGATTATTTCGATCCTGGCGGCTCTGAGAGACATTATACTCACGGTGGAAAAGTCCTCGATTTTCCAAATTCAACATGTGATATTGAACTGAAGCTGCACCAGCGCTTTCGCCAAATATGGTTACCTTATCTGGATCACCTCCAAAGTATTCAATATTTTCTTTGATCCAACGGAATGCTACGTGTTGGTCTTTCAGACCATAATTTCCTGGCGATTCCATGTCTTCCGTACTGAGGAAACCTGACAAATATCAATAATAAGAAATGAAATGTCCCTAATAACACAGCCCCACAAAACAAGGTCGAGATCCGGGAGACCGACTATGATGTTCTTTTGTATTTTTAACGCTGAATTCTAATTCTGGATCAGAAAAGAGTTTTTTAATGTCTAGAATTCACCCCCGGGCTGAAAAGCTATACCTAAAAACATTGATTTGTGAAATCCAGATGCTCGACCATGGTGTTCCTATGTATTCTTTAACGCTGAATCCTGTTTTGAGTCAACGAAATTTGTACTCCCTTTGAATTCGTCTCCGGGACCAAAAAATACTACTGAAAAATGACGTCAAGTGGGTTGACTTCGCACGCAACACCGTCATCAGTTCATAAAGGATATAATAGTAAGTTACGGACGTGTAGAACAGAGAAATTAAACGTATAAAGTCAGTCAAACAGGACCATACAATTAGTCTATAGACATTCTTTCCCTGACCTACTGGTAGTTACCGACCATGTGGCAACGTTGTCCTTTTCCACATCCGCGCGGCATCTCTGCAGCGAGTTATGTTTCGGTTCGTGCAAGCTCCTTAAGTGTCTTTGGGCTAATGAGTGCATAGAATTACCGGTGGTTGGGAGCGTTGACAAATACTAGGATCTAAAAAACCCTACAAACATTTTTTTTCAAAACTATCAGGACCCCCCCCCGTCAAAAAAAAAACGAATATTGATCGATTTAATATTGTTTTCCTTTTTCTTCGCCACAACTAGACCGATTTTCAAAAACTACAAAGCTTTTTTTCCTTGGCATAGTGGCAGAGTAGTAACCTTGTAACCTTGAAATAAATTAAATCAAAATCCGAGGTTAAGTTATAGGCGGTTATAGAATTAGCGGACAGAGCAACGAAAATGAGTGACATGGTTATTCGTGATGTACGTCATATAACAAATATAATATCTCAATTTCTTAATTTTTCGCGATTACAATACTTCCTCGCCACTTTGACATAAGATGTAAAAGGGTTAAAAATTTCCTGATGCCAGATGGTCCACCACAGCATCCTACTTTTTTTTGTGGGGTTGTGAAATCAGTATCATATTGCCGCATATCTCTAGTCACTAGATATAGAATTTTTCTATAGATTTCTAGAAGCAGCAATGGATATAAATTCATAAAAAATAGAATGCCTTTTAAGTATGGAACAGAAATGTATCTGCTTACCAAATGATGAAAGTCTGTAGCTGATCTGTACCAAAACAATGTTATGCTCCATGAAATAATCGGGACCATAATATTCGATATCAGGGTTGCCCACCAGAAATCCTCCACCGTGAATCCATACCATCACTGACATTTGAGGCTTATCGAAGTTCAGACTCTGAAACAGTCAAAAAACGAGTAACTCCTCGTATATAATTTTTACACGTACTAACCTCACTAGGAGTGAAAATACTCAAAAATAAGCAGTCTTCTGATTCACGCGTCCCACCAAACATTGTTGGTAGAATCTGGATACATGAGGGTATATTCTCTTTGGTACCATCTAGCACACCTTCCCAGCCTTTGAAAGGCACAGGAGCCTACAACATTTGAATCATATTATTGTTACTATAATATGTAAATGCTTAGAACTTGAGACGGAACCAATAATGTCTGACCTTATACGTATATTATTGGTTCCGTCTTAAGCGACATAATACAAGTCACATCTTATTCGAGAAGTTCTAAGTTAAGGTAAAGTTTCTGAATAAAACGTATTCTGAAAAATTCGTCTTCTTGTCCCGAATTCTGAGGGGCTTTCAGATTACTCCAGATGTCGTCGAATTTTTAGTACTCTTACTTTGCTGCTCCGTTATGATTTTCGTTATAAAAATAAATGTAAGAAATACTCGTAGGCAGTGTTCTCAATGTAAATTTTTATTTTAGTTCTGGTGATTTAGTGGTCACTTTGAAGTATAACAGAAATAGTACCTAAAATTTTCCATAAAAAAAGTTTAACGAAGATTTAAGCTTAGCTTTAAGACAAAAACGAAAAAAAAAGAGCAACCTGTTACTATTGTCAGTAATGTCAAATTACGGCGCTTTACTTTATTGGTACTAAAAAATGTTTTTCCAAAAGCCGCTTTTTCCAAAAAATGTAGCGGAAGGCTTAACGATTCGTTATTTTTTGCATTAAAAGCTGACGTGATCTTTGAACCTATTTTATCCCTCTAGTTGCCTAAAGCACCATTTAAAGGCAAACCGATAAATGCAAACGAAACTATTCCAGCAATAAACATTAGCATGATTGTATTTAGTTTAATTTTATTCCGTAAAAATGATTACACTTGCACTTGAGCCTAGAAAGCAGTTTACCATGTCTAGTTCACATACGAAGGCTAAGGATTATTATTGCAATAATTACATATTTTAATGCATTCTTATTTCTGCTGAATATGATCTTCAGATCACAGTTTTGCATGATCTTAAGGTTATTGCCGCTTCAATGAAAACTGCTTTGACTCATTTTATCTGGGATGTTTTTTTTACTATGGATTCTGAAATTATCACTTGAATGCCTTTATGCATCTCTGTAATACATGCAAAATATTGCGGTACTACATCACAGCACCCCAGACGTCCTTGACTATATCTTTGATAAAGTAGAAATCAAGGCCCGATTTTGCTAACAGGAGATAAAAATACTTGATCGGGATCATAGTGGACAAATTACACTCCATGTCGAATCTTTTAATTGAATTGAAAAATAAATGTTATTAGGTTCAACTGCTACGTGTTATAATAAACATTTGTGTGTTAATACAAATTACTCATGTTTACTGTTATCAGCTTGGCATCAACCGTCAAGAATAGAGGAAAAACGGATACTAGAGATGGGGCTGTGAGGTGGCGTTCGCAAATAATCACAAGCGTTGATTAGGGTGATTCAGCGCCATGAGGAATATATTAATCAATGCATAAACATAGTACTCACACCGGAAGCTTATTATCTGAATTTGTTAAAAGCATGTGGTTGAGGAACTTATGTAGATCAAGTTCGATATCACGATGTACGAAAAGTACTTAGTGTATTATTCAAAATTTTACAATTTTACATGAGTCGCTACGACCAGTGCGAGGTTATTTTGAATGTAATACTGAGTTATCTTTGAGTTTGTGGTGAATGTTATTTAAGGTAGTGGTTTTTAATAAACTGGTACAGTTACATCCAGATTCATGGTAGAGGTTTTTATTACAGTAAGCTTAATACAGTTCCATCCGCATAGTGTCGGTGTCAGATTATTATAAGTAATCTGTAAGAAGGTCCGCTATTGTTTGCGGAGTTTACATCGATATTTTACTCTAAAAAAACTGTAACCAAGACGTGCAAGTTCTCGAACAGGCTCGTAGGCGATATGCTAGGAGGCCTAGAATCGTTATCTGAATTCCAATACATCTCTAGCCGACAAAGAAGCAGAAGAAAGAGTTACAGCAAAAACATGTGATAATGGAAGATAATTAAGGAGTTTGTTGTAGTCTACTACTACTAGTCTACACCTAATTAACAACCTACATATCTTTTTTTCAATTTTCTCAAGTGTTTATGTTTGTTTTGAATTTGATTCATCATCTATAAGGTGGGTTTATGATACATGTTTCCGGATTAAGTAGAAACATATGTTTTTGTAGCTAAATCAGGAGATTTATAAAGAATTTCTCGATTTAAAATGAGGACTAGAGACCTTTCTTACTCAACTCTTATATTTTTTCTCTAGTTTGACATATTTTAGAAGAAATCGACTATATTCTTTTGATTCATTACTACAAAGATTGGTCTATTATGATCTGGATCAAGATTTTATGTCCCGCGAGTGAATACTAAAATCAGGCCCATGTATTAGTAAGTAATTAGTAAGTAAAAATACTATTTTGTCTACAATTGCATAATTTGTTTCCAAATTGGTAGTTTACATGCGGAGAGAAAGGTATCTTACAGAATTTAAAAAAATTATTGTTTCATTTGCAAGTAGTCTTACCTTGAACCGAAGATCTCCAGTTGGTGGTAAAGCATAGGGAATGCCTTGAAATGTAAAATATTGTACATCACGGTCTTTCGTCCTTTTCACTTGACCTTGTATAATCCCCTTTGGTGTCTGCACTTGTAGGGACAGATGCTGGAATACAGAAATACATTTTTTTGTCTGGCAGTCTCTTTTAGCTACAGTGGTGCTCAAAACAATGTATACTATCGTCGGATAAGTCTCCGAAATTACATTAGACAATAATCATAGCTATGACAAAAATAAAAATGTTTGCTATGTTGGTCTTTCGTTTAGATATCTGACGCTGACAAGGTTACTTCTAGGTTTAACCATATGAAAGGTTGTCAAAGCTCAACACAGAAACTATATCGACTTTACAGTATAGCATATTTGAGGATTTTGCGTTTTTGACAGCAAACAGTAGAATGCACGTAGGGTATATCGAGGGAGCGATGGTAACGATGTTTTGTGCTAATAACGAATATAGGTGCACACTTAGAGTTCCGAGAACAAAATTCAACTTTAATGGGTTGATCCTTTTTCTTCACAATTCAAATCAACTCAAACGACTTTATTGTACCAAATACATACAGTACCAGTTGCAAATGGCGCAGTCTGCCCAATGACCATTTATACTTAATTATGTCGTTAGTTTATTGCTATTTTAACCTAAAACTTAGTATCAGTACAAAAAATGTAATCCAAAAGTATATATATATATATATATATATTTGAAACAACTCCTACGCACCAGGAAGATATATAAGATGAACATATATACTAAGTGACATATAAATCCGAACACCCAGTTTAAATGGTTCTATTTTAATAAAATTTTGTATAAGTACTTAATGAAGCATAATAAGTAAATAATAAAAATTTCAAAATGATTGCACTGCTTTAAAGCCCTTTGACCTTTAATAATGTGTGGATGCACCCTGATGTGCTACGCATTCTCCAACGCGCCTAGGCATGCTTCTGATCAGGTGGTCAATGTCCTCCTGTGGTATCTCATTCCAGGCAACCACCAACTCCTCTCGAAGTGCTTCTAGTCTGAGGAGGACGTTGCAAATTGAGCAATCTCCTACCCATCATATCCCACACGTGCTCAATTGGGGATAAGTCGGGAGATCTTGGTGGCCATGGTAACAATGTGACATCATTATGTTGAAAGAAGTCTATTGTGACTCTTGCAATATGTGGTCGGGCATTATCTTGTTGGAAAGTTGGATCTGCCAGGGTGTCAAGATAGGGTAAAAGATGGGGTTCTAGAACTTCCTGGATATAACGCTGCGCGTTCATGTTACCTCTGATGAAGATTAAAGGTGACCTGGAACCATAAGCTATATCACCCCAAACCATAACTCCAACAGTGTGATGAACATGTCTTTCAACAAAAAACTGTGGATTCCTCCTTTCACCACGTCGCTTTCTAACCCTGGCACGACCATCGTGCATGCCTAAACAAAATCGAGACTCGTCACTAAAGACAATACTGTTCCATTCCTGATCCCAGAGTGACCGTTGTCTGCACCACTCAAGGCGATTACGTCGGTGTTCTCGAGTTAAAGGGAGGACCCAGTGTGGCCGGTATGAAAACAAGCCAAAACTTCTCATTCGTCGGTAAACACTTCGCATGCCAAAAGGTCTTCCGTGTTCTGCAAACCATTCATTTGCAATGGACCTGGTAGTGGAGAAACGGTCCCTTAAGGCCAATAATCTTAGGCGGCGATCTTCACGGTCTGTTGTTCTACGGCGGCGTCCAGTGCCCCTTGCTCTTTGCGTACGGCCTTCTCGAATCCAAGCCTGACAACACCTAACCACAGTGTCTACACTTCTTTGCACTCTAACTGCAATTGCCCGAAAAGAAAGTCCAGCTTCCCGAAGTCCCACTATACGGCCCCTATCAAACTCACTAAGTTGACGAAATCGTACAGGTCTCCGTACTCTAGGCACCGTAACCGATCGTAAAGGATGTCAAGAACCAAAATCCGCCAACGTTGATTCTTTACTGCGGCTGAAATATTCATTTTTAGAGCGTTAGTGAATTAAAAAAAGCAGTATAAAAACCGGAATGTCCAACTGATAAGGCTGAACATTTTTTCACTTGTTATTTACAGTAAGATAAATACATTCACCAACTTTTATTAAAATAAAGCCATTTAAACTGGGTGTTCGGATTTATATGTCACTTAGTATAATTTAAACTAGAGAGACGAAGAATAAGAAAACATACATAACAAACAGATCTTACAGGTTTTTTTTTTGAAAAGTCGCTAATAAAGATTTGGTCAAATGTATTTTTCAACTTCACCGCATTGTACGTGAAATAGCGTGAAATATGGCTGCCCTGTATTGCGTCAATGTGAGGATATGGTTGTTACGCGTATCCAAATTGTGAATTAAATTCCTCTAAACAAGATTTTCCCTAAGGAGAGGGAATAGAGGTTTTATAATATTTTTATGACAAATGTGACAAAGTTGTATTTGGACATATCAGATAGCATTTTGAATTTTTTGCAGCCTGTATTTTGTTATTTCGTCCAGGTACAAGGATAATAAACCATGTTGCAGTGCGCTATATTACCCATTATGAAAGACTCGCATATTATTTTTTTTTTGTTGAATATAAATTTATTTGCACACAGTAGTCTGAGATAACTACCCCTACACGTGGCTAACATGCTCCAGGAACTGACATTGGCATCCAAATATAAACTTAATTTTTTTTTCGTAATGGGAACGTGTAAGTAAGGTATTATTGATGGATATGTTCAATTTTAATTTGAGAACACCCCACTTTTTCTTAGAGCAAAAAATAAAGCTGTCGATCTGGATACGTTAAGTCGTAAATTGTGCATTGTGGTTTACGTACACGGTGGCCAACTAAGAATGCGAGGTACTGTGTCCAGAAACCTACCCATCATAGAGGCTTGCGGCAAAAACAATTATTACTAAAATGGCCACAAGAAAAACCTGAAAAATATTTTCCAGTTTCTAAAAAGGGCGCTAGGAGGCGTAACTGTAATCTTGTTTCTATGAATTCCACTGCATTGACCTTACAAAAAAGTACCTGGTCTGTAATTCTAGGATCATCTGAACCTTTTTTGTTTGACAATTTTTGCTGTATATCTGAAAGTAAAGTGGTGGGGGTATAAACATGTTTCCGTAAAAAACCCTGTGTCTCCGAAACGGCTGGGCCAATTTTAACAAACTTGGGCTAGTTGAAAAGAGTTATTTTTGGGCTACAAACGTTATAATATTTGCCCGCTAGAGGGCTTTTTTCGACATTTCAACAGAAATGGTCAATTTTCTCAAAAATATAAATCCATTGGTATGATTTCTTTTTTATGGAAAAGTAGCTAAATGATGTCTAAGCGGGCTCTCGAAAACCATATCCCTACAGGATGTCCCGAAAAAAGAGTACAATATTCTACCAGCGGTTTATATGAACATAGGTCGACAAACGTCTCTTAAGGGCGCTACGGTCTTTTAAAGGGGCTCCCCTGAAGATGGTTTTTCCTTAATATTTCCGAAACGTGTTGAGCTAAAGACATAAAATTTGGTATTCTAGCCTAGTTTTTTTTGCTGGATTTAAAAATATCAACAATTTTAGACAGTTTTGTTTGTAAGCGTTTGTAACAGAGACGGATTTTAGCCCCAAAATTTTTATGTGATTCTATTTTGGAAATTCAATTTTAGAATTTGAAAATTTAGGGTTTTCTGCATAAAAAAGGTACTCTTATTGAATATCGATAAATTGTGCCATTTTTGAATAAAATCAAACTAAAAAATTTGTCACATGATAGGAAATGTACTGCGAATTTAAATGAATTCTTGAATAATTATCCATGGCAACCAAAAAACTAATTTAATAATTGCTAAATATTACATAAATACATATTTCTATTGCAACATAGCTAACATTTAGACAAAAAAAGAAGAAATAAAGTTTTTCTACGAACGAAATTGAAATTTGTTTAAAAAAGAAGACATACAGTTGGATATACTTAAAACTAGCTTTAAAATAAGTGTTCAAATAAATTCCCATTTTGTTGGATACAGAGTCTCGCTCGACGAACTAATGATTACGTAGCCCAAAAGGTGGAAAGCGTTTTTCTTATTTCATTTGCAACCTGATGGATTCTCTGAAGTAAATCTTCTTGAGTATTTACTTCAGTCGAGTAAACTAGGTCTTTTAATGATGCCCGAAAATAGAAATCCAGTGGATTTAGACCAGGTGAACGTAGCGGACACGCTATAGGACCTCCTCGGCCTAACCACCTGTCTGGAAAATTGACATTCAACCAATTTCGAACATTGCGTCCAAAATGTGCAGGCGCGCCATCATGTTGAAAAAACATATTTTCTTGAAACTGCTGGCGCACATCCAATGGTATTATATCCATGAGCTCATTCTGAAGAAATTTCAGATACACCTCTGAATTAAGACGATTGGGAAGTACAATAGGTCCAATTACTTGATCCCCAATTACTCCTGCCCATAAGTTCAATGAAAATCTATGTTGGAAATTTGTACGGCGAACAACTTTTGGATTTTCATCTGACCAGTGATGCATGTTATGGAAATTAAAAGCACCATTCCTAGTAAATATTGCCTCATCCGACCATAATATTCTAGGAATAGTGTTTTCATTTGCCAATATCCACTGCCAAAACTCGATTCGTGGTAAAAAATCTGCCTCCGGTAAATGCTGCACCCGTTTAAAATGATAAGGATGTAATCATTCTTCCTATCTAAAATTATTATATTTAGGATAACTATCAAATAGGTATTCATAAATTTTTCTTACTATTGATCTAGGTATATCCATAATTTCCATACGATGATTTCCCAATGGCCTTCCTGAGCCCTGCATGTTGCTTAAAACTTCCATGGTTTGATAAATCAGTAAACATTCGACGTCCAGGTACTATGCGATTGGGAAATCTTCTTTGGTATTCTCTTACGGCTGCCAATTTATTGTCATTGCAAAACCCGTACACAAAATGCATGTCAGTCATGTCAATTTTGATTTTAATCTAGTAATTTTATACTGCTAACAATATCAGCTTAACGTCAAAATAAGTCATAACAAATCAAAACAACTTGTTTGAGGTCATGGCTAACTATGTATAATCAACAATTCATTTAAATTCGCAGTACATTTCCTATCAGGTGACAAATTTTTTAGTTTGATTTTATTCAAAAATGGCTCAATTTATCGATATTCAATAGAAGTAGGGGAGCGCGGGGTAATGGGAGCGGTCGGGAAATGGGAGCTATGGTGATTGAACGGAATGTAGGCAACTTACGTGATTGGTAAACATTCGGCTGCTTCCGCCAACATTCGAGAAACTTCGCCTGACCGGTACGAGCCGTTAGTGCCATGAGTTCAGTCACGAGGGACGGTTGTTTGTTTTTCGCTGCGTCCTTATAAAAAATTGTGGATTGCCAGCGACAAGGTAAGCATGCAGCTTGATTATTATTTTATTTTGGTTATATTCATATCATCCGTAGATTCATTCACTAACTAGTGCAATTTGTTTAATTACGATTGGAATTAGAATTACATTATTTATATTATTACTTTTCAAAATGGTGGTCAGCGGGAAATGGGAGCCTAGAATGGCTCTCACTACCCGACATAGCTCCCACTACCCTACCAGCTTTTAAAATATATTTTCACACCATTTTACATACGTATTATCTGTGCTCGTGCATGACGCAGGACAGCAGCCAACTAACATATCTCCTATTCCATCTACGTCAAAGCACACAGTTAATAAACCATCGACTGCTAGCCCTGCTATGAGTCCATCTATTCTTTGTGACACAGAATTTCAACCAGAAGTAGTTCAGGAGGAAGCTGCTGTAAGCCCAGCTCCAATTCCAACCATATTATGTGCAACACCAACACGAGCTGCTATTCGGGAGGAACATATCGTCAGATCTACCGCAACTCCGTCAAAAACATATTTTAATGAGACCGATACTAATGACGATGAAACAGTAACTGACTTTGTTGATATTCTAAAAATTGTGAGCCCACTGCCACAACAACTCATAACTAATAAAGAAACGAGATTGAAGAACAAACAACATTCTGAAATTATAACAAGCACTCCAATGAAGGCAATATTTGAAGAAAAGAAGAGGAAAAGGACTGAAAAAGAGAAAAATACTAAAAAAATAAAAAGACTAATAAAGAAAATTGCACCGAAGGTAAATGTAACAAACGGAAACTTACCAAAGATAGAGAGGTTAAAAGCAAGAAGACCACAACCAGAAAGAAAGTGGCCAAAAAGGCAAAAAAAATTTGTTTAATAGTGATGATGAAGATTCATCTGATGATCAAATTGACGGATGTACAATTTGCGACGACGAGTCAGAATACTCAGAAGAGGAAACTTTATGTGCAATTTGCTTAGACACGGGAAAAAGTGGAGAGATGTGGTACCGATGCAGAAATTGCGGAAACTGGGCTCATGAAGAATGCTCTGGAAGTCATAGTCCAGCTTCTTATATTTGTACATTTTGTTTGGATCCGTAAAATCTGGGTCATATGTTTTTCTTTAATAATTTTATCTTTATTTTCCTTGTTTTTGTTTAAAAAGTATTTTTTTATTTGTGTTACAATGAATAGATCGTAGTAGCTAACTAAGATCACAGTCATTTAAAGTATATTTAGTTTAACTTTTGCGCAATACTAAATAGTATGACTCCCATTTCCCATATGAGCGTGAAATGGGCTCTCAATGGAAGCGATTGACTTTTTTTGTAGAATCGGTATTGTACCTTAATATATGACTGCAATAAGTCCTAACCGTGATTAAAACATACCTGTATGATTATTCTAAGAGTTCCTAAAAAAAAATTATAAAAAAGTTAATAAATGTGGTTTTTATGAAAGTTTTTTCTTAGTAGGCTCCCATTACCCTGCGCTCCCCTACCTTTTTTATGTAGAAAGCCCTAAATTTTCAAATTTTAAAATTGAATCTCAAAAATAGAATCTCACAAAAATTTTGGGGCTAAAAAACCTGAGTCCGTCCCTGTTACATACGCTTCCAAACAAAACTGTCTGAAATTGTTAATACTTTTAAATCCAGCATAAAAAACTAGGCTAGAATACCAAATTTTATGTCTTTATCTCAACACGTTTCGGAAATATTAAGGAAAAACCATCTTCATGGGAGCGCCTTTAAAAGACCGTAGCGCCCTTATGGGAGGTTTGTCGACCTATGTTTATATAAACTTTTCTTTCTATTTCAAGCTCTAGAAGCTGCTGATAAAATATTGCACACTTTTTTAGGGACACCCTGTATATCTTGTTGCTAACCTCAAATTTAGGCCAAAGAAAATTTTATACCGAAATCCCTTGAATTTTTATGTTTCTAAACTAATTCTTCCGCAAGCCTCTACGATGGATAGGTTCTCAGATACAGTACCTCGCATTCTTAATTGGTCACCCTGTACATATAATCTAAATGTAGATCTAGATCTAGAAATCGGAGAGAAACTATAGAAAACTTAAATGTCATCAGCATAAGATTGACTTGAACAGTGTTAGCGATAGAAAAAATGTATATGAGGAACATGATAGGCCCTAACATGGCTCGTTCAGGCACGCCGGAACAAATAGGCCTTTTTTCTGAAGGTTTATTTTGTATCACGTCATATTGATGTCGTTCATTTTCATAACAATCCATTTCAGAGCCAAAACGTCAAATCCAACGGATTTAGATTTAGAAATCAAAAGCTTATGATTCAGAGTGTCAAGAACCTCACTAAAGTCTAGTCAGACTAATGCGGTTGCTTCTTGCTTATCCGTCTCTGTCAGTACCTTATCATAAACACGCGCCAGAGCGATGGCTTTTCAGGAAAAAAGCTACATTCAGAAAAATACTCATTTAACTGCATGTAAACAATTTTTGACAATTTTAGCAGCAAGCTGATTCGTCTGAGATCATCAGGTAGTAAATCTTTGGGAGAGATTGCATTAATGCTTCCTTCCACGGCCGAGGAAAGACACAGCAATTTAATATGTGTAATATGTATATTCCTACAGCAGGCTGACATCAGTTATATCAGAACCCTTAATTTTGAATGACTTAAGTGCTTTGTAAAGCTGCAGAGTTTTTTTGAGATGTTGAAGGTAATCAGATTTTTTCTGCACAAGCAACAGTTTTTGCCGAATTCTTCATTTTTGTTTTGTTTCGGAAGGCATTCATTGTCAGCCTATGAAAAATTCGCTTAGGACTAAAATATCTGCCGAACGAAAAAAAAGAAGTAATAGCCTAGTTCTGTTTTACATTCTTTCAACTTAAGATGCTTTTAATACTCTGAAACACCATTCGTTCACATTTAACTTCAAAAAGATGTATAAGCAAAATTTTCAAATATTCGAGAATAGAATACTGATAATAAATAACTTTGTAGCCATTGAAATGATTTAGCTTAAGATAGCTTCATTTTTATTCATGCGAAACAAAACACCATTCACAAAAATTGAATTTTTGATACTAAAGCGACGATACGGCCCTCCATTGAGATTGTTTGATATAATATTATGAAAGTAGCAAACAGTTACTTACCTGAAGGTATTCTGGCACAAAGTCCACACAACTGGTAGTCCAAAATAAATTAATGAATTGTAACACTACCACTAATCTCTTGTACATGGTAGAACCAAAGAATGGACAATGATAAACTGAAATGTTAATGACTAAAGGTACCGTATACATTCATGTAATTTTGTCAAGGTTACAATTAACCTATCCGCTCCTATGCTGCGATTTTATACATAAGCTTGTATATATTATACAGTCACATTATAATTAATTATACAGAGTGTTTAGATGTAGATGGTCAATGTTCCCACTAACAAGCGACGGAAGTAAACAATGAATTTTTAGAATTTTGGATAACTTTAGAACTAATCAACTTTATTTTTGTACATCCTTCGAATCCTTGTTCTGCCATTCATTGTGATTTCTTAAAGCCATTTTACAGTCCGCGACATCATGGCATGCAAGCTCTTGTACTTGCAACACGGCATCGTTTCGTTTGCGAGACAATTGCATCAAATCACTTGTAGTTGCAAGTTTAAAGCGAGGAAGGTTAGCAAGCCTAAACGAACGAAATTTCCATGTTACATTCCTAACCTAAAACTTTGGTTTTGGTATTTTACGCTTTAATATCCAAAAACTACTTGTAGTTTCAATTATCGACCATCCAAATTACTAATTCGACTGTGCTATTACTGCGTTGCCTTACCACACCTGCACTGCCCTGTGTCTCAACTTTAGCTTGGACTTATTAAACACAAAAATCAGAGGATCAAGATGCGAGAAGCTGTTAAGCCTACTCGCTTGAAGTTAGAATTAATTTTTGTCCTGATAGAAAGTCGACGTTAGTCTTCTTTTTACCAGCTCACCGGCAGAGATCGGCTTACCGCTCTGAATTCCTGCATGTAGAGTGCTATCATCAGCAAAGCTGTTAATTGGATTGAAAGAAAGGTCGTTGATATGTAAGATAACAGTTACGGAGCCAGGGTCGGTCGCTGGGGAACACCCGCGTTGACGTTGTGGGATGAAGATGACAACCCGTCAATTACGACGTGAGAAAGTCAGCCACCCATCTGCAAAGTTTCTCTTGGAAGCCATAGGATAGAAGTTTGCATACAAGGACAGCGGGCCTCAGCTGATCGAATGCTTTCGAGATATCAGCAGTAACGACAAGAGCCTCACCATAAGACTGGATGAGATTAGTCAGCAATTGCGTGACGTGGAAGTCCTCAGTACGCATTTTGTATTTGTTCATCGTCTTTCCTAGAGACCTGTCTAGACCATGCTGATGAATGTTAATAAGCTTGAAACAGCTGTACACGGTTGACGTTCTTTTAGGTCGGACATACGAAATAATTAGTTTTTAGTTTTCAGTGTCAAGTGGGCTACAGTAACTGAAACTGAATCGACGGCATCGAGCGGTCATAGTGACTCGACTCTAAATGATACTTCTCAGTTTCAACGTACTCGTGTAGCTGCTATTCACCCTCGCAGTATTCGATTCTGGTAATAAATGGCACTTTTACTATGACATATTAAAGATTTAGGGCCTATGGAGTAATTGTTTCAGGCTTTTTCTTGAGAGGGGTTAACTTCTGGAAATTGCCTCCGAACGTTTAACGGAATCCAAAGAATGGTTTATAAAAACCAATTGGTCCCCAATTCAGAACAGGCAAATTTTCTTTGTCTTCGAACAGAACAAAGAGACAGAAAAATCTAAGATATGGTCTTAATCAACAACAAAAACTAACAACTAGCGCGAACTACAAAGTTCCTGAGTATTTACATTGGCGAGAATTTGAATAGAAGGGACCGTCTCATAAATGTCTGTAAAGCCACTTCAGCAAGTTATTCTCTTAGAATTATGGCCTGGTATCCAGACATTGAACATCTTAGGTTTGTATATACGCAAATATTTATCGCATCTTCAGATATGGAATAATATACTAAGTGACATATAAATCCGAACACCCAGTTTAAATGGTTTTGTTTTAATAAAATTTTAGTACTTAATGAAGCATAATAAGTAAATGATAAAAATTTCAAAATGATTGCACTGCTTTAAAGCCCTTTGACCTTTAATAATGTGTGGATGCACCCTGATGTGCTACGCATTCTCCAGCGCGCCTAGGCATGCTTCTGATCAGGTGGTCAATGTCCTCCTGTGGTATCTCATTCCAGGCAAGCACTAACTCCTCTCGAAGTGCTTCTAGAGTCTGAGGAGTACGTTGCAAATTGAGCAATCTCCTACCCATCATATCCCACACGTGCTCAATTGGGGATAAGTCGGGAGATCTTGGTGGCCATGGTAACAATGTGACATCATTATGTTGAAAGAAGTCTATTGTGACTCTTGCAATATGTGGTCGGGCATTATCTTGTTGGAAAGTTGGATCTGCCAGGGTGTCAAGATAGGGTAAAACATGGGGTTCTAGAACTTCGTGGATATAACGCTGCGCGTTCATGTTACCTCTGATGAAGATTAAAGGTGACCTGGAACCATAAGCTATATAGCACTCCAAACCATAAATCCAACAGTGTGATGAACATGTCTTTCAACAAAAAACTGTGGGTTCCTCCTTTCACCACGTCACCTTCTAACCCTGGCACGACCATCGTGCATGCCTAAACAAAATCGAGACTCGTCACTAAAGACAATACTGTTCCATTCCTGATCCCAGAGTGACCGTTGTCTGCACCACTCAACGCGATTACGTCGGTGTTCTCGAGTTAAAGGGAGGACCCAGTGTGGCCGGTATGAAAACAAGCCAAAACTTCTCATTCGTCGGTAAACACTTCGCATGCCAATAGGTCTTCCGTGTTCTGCAAACCATTCATTTGCAATGGACCTGGTAGTGGACAAACGGTCCCTTAATGCCAATAATCTTAGGCGACGATCTTCACGGTCTGTTGTTCTACGGCGGCGTCCAGTGCCCCTTGCTCTTTGCGTACGGCCTTCTCGAAGCCATGCCGGACAACACCTAACCACAGTGTCTTTGCACTCTAACTGCAATTGCCCGAAAAGAAAGTCCAGCTTCCCGAAGTCCCACTATACGGCCCCTATCAAACTCACTAAGTTGACGAAATCGTACAGGTCTCCGTACTCTAGGCATCGTAACCGATCGTAAAGGATGTCAAGAACCAAAATCCGCCAACGTTGATTCTTTACTGCGGCTGAAATATTCATTTTTAGAGCGTTAGTGAATAAAAAAAAAGCAGTATAAAAACCGGAATGTCCAACTGATAAGGCTGAAAAGTTTTTCACTTGTTATTTACAGTAAGAAAAATACATTCACCAACTTTTATTAAAATAAAACCATTTAAACTGGGTGTTCGGATTTATATGTCACTTAGTATAATTTGGATGAGGCATCAGTGACTCCGTCAAGGCTTTCGCAGCACAAGAAAGATCAGTGTGCACTATGCTATCTCTGCGAAATAGACAAACATGGAAAGGAAGGTTTAGAGAGCTGAGTATTCTCACTGTGCCAGGTATTTATATTTTTGAGACTCAGGCTTTTGTTCAGAAACACAGAACAATTCAGTGCCTATGTGAGACCTGAAGGCACAACGGACTAAATTACCTAAACCTACTGCAACGGAAAAAGGCACTGCTTACTCGTGTATATTTTTTTAATAAAAAAAACACATCATATAATGCTGGAAAGTAATTTTAATATTTTTAGGAATAGCATAAGGAATATCCTCATAAAATTTGAACCTTATACGATACAACAATTTTTTGATCATAAAATTTAACCTATTTCACATTCAGTATCATATCATTGTCTTATTTTATTTAGAGAGAAGTGATCTGCTTTATTTGTAGGTTTGTGTTTTTTCACACTTAAGCTGTGCGTATGCATAATTAGTACATTTTCGAATTTTCATTTCTTTATTATTATATAGTATCTGGCTACAGATTTTTGTATACATACGCCTAATTATTCAATTGTTACATTGGATTATATATAATCATTACATACAATTTAATTAATTAGAGAACTTTTGAATTTGAACTGAACTTATGCAGAACATAATCCTTTACGGATGGATGACAGCGTTGCGTAGTAAGTGGAGAGTCAACCTACTTGGTACCATTTTTTTGATTGATTGTAGACAGTACTATCAAATGGAGGCATTTATTTACATTTTGTTTAGCACACCCTATATGATCGGCAGCTACTACCGAGTCAGTATTGTTTAGAGATAGTTGGTGATGATACGAGTAGTCAACTGCATCATTGCGATATTCGTTCTATTGTATACAGGAAATAATTATTATTATTAGTGTCAGTTATTCAGTAACAATTAAAAAATAGCTTTTTTGTTGCGCGATTTTTTCTAAATATTATTCAATCGGGGATATCTAGTCACCGCAAAAGCGTTTAGTCAGCGTAATACTTTGTCTAAATTTTGTCTGTCATTCTGTTGCTGTTGAAGAAATAATACAATTAGATAATACTAAACGATATTCGTAATACTCGTACAGGTATATTTAATTTATTTATTTTGTTCAATTGATGTTTCAATATTTGAATAGCCTCTCGGTAGAAATTTTGTCCGGCGACTTAAGAGCAGTCCTTTATGGCAGATATCACCTGTTGATTACTTGAACTTCATTATCCTCACGAATCTTCTTTTATTTCGAATGTAGTGTATTATTACTGGAAGCCAGATCTGGGAAATAAGATGGGTACGTTACCAATCTAAGAATGACCCTTACACCTACAGATCCATAGCTCTGCTTTGTGTTATCAGTTATCAAAGTTGAGAAATAGAATCTCCGATTATCTTGTTCTGCCCCTAATGTTTTTGAAGTTGCTTGAAGGAGCTTTGAGCAGTGGGTCTCAGCTATTTTCATTGTTAACAGTATTCATCAAATAAGTATCTCTATCCGAAAGAGCTGGTTGGATTAACCCTCCTATATTAATTTTCATAGTATTTTAATATTTTCTGAAGATACCTCTTGTCTGGTAGGAGGAGAATGAAATTTCCATACTTATCTGACAGATCTCATTGATTACACTGGTCAACAAAATTTTAACTTTGTTGTGCCACACGGACTTTTTTGATATTTTTTACTTTAATTGGTGATTGTAAGAAAAAATAAACAGTTAAAAAAAATTTGCTAGACAAGGATTTTATTCTATTGAGTAATTTAAAATATTAAGAAAAAACACAGATCTCGTAAATCAAAAGTTATTTTTTTTTATAAATGACTT